GGGGGGGGGGGGGGGGGGTCCGCGACGGGCCGGTAGAGGGGCCGCGAAGGGCCGGCAGAGGGGCCGCGAAGGGTCGTCAGAGGGGCCGCGATGGGCCGGCAGAGGGGCCGCGAAGGGCCGTGACGGGGGGGGGCGCGACGGGCCTTAACAGGGGCCGTGATGGGCCTTAAGAGGGGCCGCGACGGGCCTTAAGAGGGGCCGCGACGGGCCTTAAGAGGGGCCGCGACGGGCCTTAAGAGGGGCCGCGACGGGCCTTAAGAGGGGCCGCGACGGGCCTTAAGAAGGGGCCGCGACGGGGCTTACGAGGGGGCGCGATGGGCCTTAAGAGGGGCCGCGACGGGCCTTAAGAAGGGGCCGCGACGGGCCTTAGGAGGGGCCGCGACGTGCCTTAAGAGGGGTCGCTAGGGGCCACGAAGGGGCAGCGACAGGCCACTAGGGGCCTCGAAGGGCAGGCACTAGGGCGCGGCTCGGTCAAACGCGACACGCGCCTCGGGCAGGTAGGAAAAAAAATTTTCGAGTGGTGGGCCCTAAAAAAAAAACTCGAACCAGCTCTTTACCATGTGAGAATTGAGAATGGAATGATTGAACTAGAAACGAGATGGGTACAAGTAGAGAACACAAAAGTGTTGTACCCTCTAAGAACTACCCCACTACAGCCTAAACAGACTATAGCAGATATAAGTTTGACAGTGACCGTATAGTAAAAATTCGACTCGAGGTAATCGAGCCAGCGGATTTGTCGTGGGTTGAGGTGAGGTTGTGCGCGGAGGTACTGTAGTGACTTGTGATCTGTCCGTACTGTCACGTCGGCGCCGGTCAAGTAACAGCGCCGCATTTTGAACGCGTGCACGATCGCAAGCATTTCGCGATCGTGTATCGGATAATTGTTCTCGGGCGGATGCAGCTTTCGTGATTCGTAGGCGATGGGCTGTAACCCGTTGCCAAAGTCCTGTAACAGTACGGCTCCAATGGCGATATCGCTTGCGTCCGTAACCACTTCGAATGGGCGGTGTGGGTCGGCGATGCGCAGTACGGGCGGTGAACAGAGAACATTTTTTAGGGTGGAGAAGGCAGCATGCTCTTTCTCCCCCCACGTAAAAGTGACCCCCTTCTGCAACAAATCCGTTAGCGGGGCCGTTAAACGTGCCATGTCGGGGACGAACCGGCGCACATAATTAACAAAACCCAAAAAACTCTGCAGTTCCGTGATGTTCGTCGCGGGGTGCCACGCTTTTACCGTGTCCAATTTCTTCGGGTCGATTTCGACGCCAGCCTCCGAAATAACGTGCCCCAAAAACTCTAGCATGTCTTGAAAAAACTCACACTTGGAACCCTTTGTCAGTAGTCTGTGTTTGTCTAGAACTGTAAATACTTCTTCTAAATCTTCTAAGTGCTGCTGCTTATCCCGACTGTAGACTAGGATGTCGTCGAGATAGATGATTACGCATTCATCTAAGAGCGGGCTAAACGCCTCGTTCATCGCCATCTGGAAATTCGCCGGTGCGTTGGTCAGCCCGAAAGGCATCACCGTGTATTCGAACGACCCGTACGTAGTCCTAAAAGCTGTCTTGGCGCAGTCCGACGGTTCGACCCTAATCTGGTGGTAACCTCTATGTAAGTCAATTTTCGAAAAGGCTCATGCTGTTCGTAGTCGATCTATCAGCTCGTCGGCGCGGGGAATGGGGTATCGCGATTTAACTGTAACCCTGTTCAGTGCTCGGTAGTCGATACACATGCGAAAACCGCCGTCCTTCTTCGGTGTGAACAGGATCGGTGCGGCGAATGGGGACGAGCTCGGTCGGATGATTTTTTTCTCTAACAGGTAATCTAACTGCTTCCTTAACTCGTCGAGCTCGGGCTGTGTCAGTCTGAACTGTCGCTGTACGGTTGGCTGTACCCCGGGCTCTAATTCTATTCGGTGATCGTGTGCCCGCTGAGGTGGCAGTCCCTCGGGTAAGTCATCGGGGAAGATCCCCGGGAATCGTTTCAACAGGTCCTGTAGTTCCGATGGTACTGCTTCCAGTAGTTTCTGAAAATCACTTGGTTTGTCCGCTTCTTCCACTATCGCGATTTCCACCGCGTACACGTCAGCTCCAGCGGCGACAGCCCGTTTCATCGTGATGGCGTTGACGTGGACCATTGACGACTCAGGCGCTTGCCAGCGAGGTAGCTCCACCCAATTACCGCTACTTCGCACAGTGCAGCTGCCTGTCGTCCAGTCGATTCGCGGGTTGTATCGTCGCAGCCAATCACGTCCCAGTAAAATGTCGTGCCCATCCAATGTCGTCGCGAGCACTTCCTGTGTAAAACCGAAATTTCCCCCACAGCGGACTTTTACTCTTTCCACTTTCTCCCGTATGGCCAGCGGCGTTCCGTCAACTAAGCGTGCGTCGATCTCTGGTAAGCACCGACTAAGTGTCAGTTGCAACTTCCTTGCAGTCGCGGTATTAACTAAGCTGTGACTTGCACCTCCGTCTATAAAAATCTTCACTGCTGCTCCCTGTATTTTCCCGTGAATCAGTACTGGGCAATCCGTCGCTGTACCCTCCTTATTCGTCCGAGCCCGATCGATAGCGTGAATCGGTACTGTGACTCGGTGAGGGTTGGTGAAGTTGGGCGAGCGGGCAGTCTCGTCAGTAGTTGGCCCAACTTCTACTGACTGCTGGCGTTTCCCGGCCTCTGAGACTCTCGCCCCTGCTCTGTTCCGCGGCGCCTCAGCTCCTCTGGGCATTCACTCTTGCGATGGCCCGGCCTATTGCAAGCAAAGCAGCGCCCCTTAAATGGTGCGGCAGCTGCATTTGTTGCAACGGCGTGTACGGTGGCGTGCTCGATCGGTCCCCGAGGACGATGTCCATAGTAGGACCCCGGTCTCGGTCGTCGTAGTATGTCGATTTTCTCGGCGAGCGCGAGGATCTTGTTGAAGTTCGAGAGCCCGCGTAGCATAATTTCGTGCGAGATGTCCGGCTTTAGCCCTCCGACGTAACGGTCCACCCGTTCCGCTTCGTGCATATAGCCGACTTGTTCGCATAGTGCGAGAAAGCCGCTAGTGTAATCTTGAACCGACCCGAGCTGCCGCCAAGTGCGCAGCTTCTGATGCGCCGAAATCGAAGCCGCGATCGGCTCGAAACGCGCCCGAAGCCCTGCGCACCACGCATCCCACGTGCTGTACTGGGCTGTCTCGCAGAATGAGCCCCAGATGACGGCTGGGCCCGTGGGCCCGTCTTCTTGCGACGGTGGCTCGTAGGCGCGTGGCGACGTCACGATGACTCGCCACCAGTCCATGGCGGGGCTCCTCAGCAGCGAAACAGCGTAGCGAATCTTCGCTGCGTCCGACTCGACGTAATTGGCGTCGAAAGACACGTTCATCGTGAAGACCCACGACTGAACCGTCGGACCTCCACGTTGGCTCGGGTCGAAACAGGGCGGACGCTGTGGCTTGAGTGGCATAGGTGCCGTGATGGCATGTTCGCCGCTTGTTGCCGCAAATTCCACGTGCCAACGGGACTCGCGGGGCTCCCGTGGGCTTGGTGCGGTCCTGTTCCTCTCCATGCCAGGCATCGAGTGAGCGGCGCCTTCACTGGCTGCGCCTGAGCGCTGTCCCACGCTGTCATTCTGTGTCGGTGTGCTGGAGGAGATGACAATCGGCTCCTCCGAATGTGTAGGTGCATGTGTTGGTGCTGGTGCGTTCACCGTCGATTGTTGGCGGGCGGAGTCACGTTCCGCCGTAAGTGTGGCGATTACAAGCGCCGATTCTTCGAGTTGGCGCATGAGTCGATTGAGTTGCTCCTGCGTCAATGTCGCGGCATTGAGTTCTGCCATGGCGGGGGTGTCGGGCAAGCTCAGCGAGAGCCTCTGTCGTGGCCGTGCGTGCTTACGAGAGAGCACTACGAGCGGCGGTGCTTGATCGCTGAGAGACGTCTACCCCCCCCAAAAAAACTGATAGTGGGGAAGCGAAGGTGTGGGTGCGGTCCGAGAGAAGATCGTAGGCTCTGATACCAAGTGTTACGAGTGCAATTGAGTGAGCGAGCGAGGATTGCACTATCGAGACAAGAAGCCAATGAGCGAAGGAATGAGCGAAGAATATATAGCGAAACTATGGTGGTAACGGTAACGTGGGAAAATGGGGTGCGCGATGGGCCTAGTGCCGAGGTTTGGGGAACTGTCGAGGCGGAGATCCGGAGCGCGGGTTACCAGCCGAACCGTGAGGTTGGGTCGCATCGTGAACAGTGGTGGGAATGTTGTCGGGGCGAATGTCGCGAGTGGTAACGGAATATTGTGGGGTGCTGTCAGTGTTGTACGCGCTGAGCAGGGACGCGAATTTTCCTTACAGCTTGCCATGGTTATTTGGACATTCAACCCCTTTATTTGCAACACGAAATAACAACTCCTATGCTACAGGCCAGTCATACGAAGCTTCTCATCAATTCCTCTTTCTCTGGCCATTTGCAATTGAAACGGCCGGAGATCAGCGGCTCGTTTTCGTAACCGGCGGATAAGCATAGACTCTGCTGACCTATCAAGCGCTCCTGTCCACCGAAACAATTCCTGCATGCGTGGGACATTTCCAGAATCAGTCAGATACAATACAACCACGCCTTTCAGTCCTGCTCTAAAAACCCCACATATACCACCCGAACACATTCTGAAATTCCTCCACACTGATCACATCACATCACAACACTGCAATCGCCGCAAAACCAAAGCAGCAAACCCACAACGAAACCCCAACACACACACACACACACACACACACACACACACACACACACACACACACACACACACACACACACACACACACACACACACACACACACACACACACACACACACACACACACACACACACACACACACACACACTCACCTGCACCCAAACAACGTTCTTCTGCATCCTCTGGAGCAGCTCCGACTGGTTTTTTACAGCGCCCAACACACACCACAACACACACCTTCGCCTGCACCCAAGCGAACCCCACCACAACACAACACACACACACCTGCACCCGAACAACGTTCTTCTGCATCCTCTGAAGCAGCTCCGGCTGGTTCCTGACTGCATCAATGCGCTCCTTGAGCTGCCAGATGTTGTCCGGGTCGATGTTGATTGAGAAAGAGGAATACTCCAGCTCGTCCTGCCACGGGTTGTCATGCTCTCGGAAGAACGTCACTGGGATGCATCCTGAGATGAGCGCCTGGTGGGGGGATGGGGGGAAGAGGGGGGATTAGTTAGTCCAGCTTGTCGCCCCAGGGGTTGTCGTTCTTGCGGAACAACGTCACTGGGATGCATCCTGAGATGAGCACCCGTTGGGAGCAAGGGAGAGGGGGAGATGCGGGGGAGAGTATGGTTGTGTGCTGGTTTAGCTCGTCCTGGCACGGGTTGTGGTGGCCTCGAAAGAACGTCACTGGGATGCATCCTGAGATGAGCGCCTGGGGTAGGGTGGATGGGGGGAGGGGATGTGGGGAGAAGGGGGGAAAAGGAAAGGTGAAGGAGTACTCTAGCTCGTACTGCCACGGGCTGTTGTGCTCCCGGAAGAACGTCCCTGGGATATACCCGGATGTCAATGCCTGTACATGTATATGAAGAAAAGGAAAAAAAAGAAAAAAAAGAAAAAAAATAACCATACAGACAAACAAACTGAGCTTCGATGAACATGTTGTGCACTTACGGTGACATCTGTGAGTGAATTGTACCTGCTTAAAATCGGTAAATTTCTGTAGGTCCGGCTGGTCCACTGGGGGTGATCGTAAGCCCACTCAATTGACCCAACTGACCCGACTGACCCGATTGACCAAATTGTCCCGATTGACCCGACTGAACCAATTGACTGGATTGACCCGATTGACCCGATTGACCCAATTGACTCGATTGTCGTGCCCCTCACCTTGAAGGGGCGGCTGGTCCACTGGGAGTGTCCCGGAGGGCAGATGCAGAAGACAGCCCTCCGCCAATCAGGATCCGTCTCCCCCTCGCCCTTCTCTGCAAAGTCCCACCCCTCGTACCCTGCGTGCGTGTACAGCTGAGTGGAACGGAAGAGGAAGGGAGGGAGGGAGGGGGTGGGGAAAATGGAGAGAGGAAAGAGGAAGGAGAAGCAAGTGCAAGCAAGCAGGCTGGCATGCTGCAGCCTCCAGTCAGGATGCATCCCCCCCTCGTTCCCTGCACATTCCCACCCCTCCAGCTCACCTCAACGACTTTTGAGACGTCACAAAAGTCAGCAGGTAGGCTGGCATGCTTCCAGTCAGGGTGCGTGCCCCCCCTTCCCCTGGTCCCCTGCACAGTCCCACCCCTCCTCCTCGTTCCCTGCACAGTCCCACCCCTCCTCCTCGTTCCCTGCACCGTCTCCCCCCTCCCCCTCGTCCCCTGCACAGTCCCACCCCTCCAGCTCACCTCAGCGCAACCCCATTTCACCTCAAACTCATTGGAACAGCACGGTGCGGTCCCTCTCGCCCTCCCACAAGGAAACCAGGAAGGAAGGACCCACCTCCAAGCCATCCCACCTCAAAGTCACCCCCACCCAGCTCACCTCCCATTCATCTCCATCTCACTGTCAAGCCATCTCACCTCCAATAGCTCTTTCCGTATCTGGTGCCCGTGATGCCATATCGGCACCCCGTGGTGCTGGCCCGCGCCAAACCGGAACAGCACGGTGCGATCCCTCTTGCCCTCCCACAGGGCCACCAGCAGGGAGGAACTAAGCTCAACCGCAGCTCACCTCTAATAACTCCTTCCGAATCTGGTGCCCGTGGTGCCAAATCGGCACCCCGTGATGCTGGCCCGCGCCAAACCGGAACAGCACAGTGCGGTCCCTCTCGCCCTCCCACGGTGCCACCAGCGGTAGCCCCTTGCTCACGAGCACGGGCACGACAATGTCTCGATCCGGCAGGTAGCAGGGGATGTCTGGCAGTGAAGGGTCGACAGGGAGCTTGTAGTTGTACGTTATGGCCTGGTGGGGGGAAGGAGGGACGGACAAGCACGGGCTCGGCAATATATCGATCCGGCAGGTAGCAGGTAGCAGGTAGCAGGTAGCAGGTAGCAGGTAGCAGGTAGCAGTGAAGGGTCGACAGGGAGCTTGTAGTTGTATGTTATGGCCTGGTGGGGGGAAGGAGGGAAGGATGAAGGTAGCAGAAGCGTCAATCCTCCCCTTGGAAACGAGCACGGGCGTGAAAATATCTCAATCGGGTAGGTAGCATAGCAGGGGATGTTGGGGAGAGAGGGGTCCCCTGGGATCTTTTAATTATACGTGATGGCCTGAGCAGAGGGAAGTGGGGGGACGGGGAGGGACGGACGAGCACGGGCATGGCAATGTCACATGGAGAGGGGTCGGGAGGAATTGGGAGGGGTTGGATGGATCGGGAGGAACGGGAGGCCTGGGAGGGGTTAGGGAGGGGGGGAAGGGGAGGGGATAGGGAGGGGAGGAAGGGGAGGGGGTAGGGATGGGAGGAAGGGGAGGGGGTAGAGAGGGGAGGAAGGGGAGGGGGTAGGGAGGGGAGGAAGGGTAGTTGGTAGGGAGGGGAGGAAGGGGAGGGGGTAGGGAGGAGAGAAAGGGGAGGCCCCTTCCCCCCAACAAGTGGCAAAGGACACGGGGGGCGGGGGGTGGAAGGAAAGGGGATAGGGAATGGGGGAAGGAAGTGGGGGTTGGTGCGATAGGGTGGGGTGAGGTGGGGTGGGGTGGGGGGAAAGACTGGCTCCACTGCTCTCACCTGCATGTTGCGCTCTTTGCTCGTGTGCACACTCCTAACGAGTTTGTCCCCGTTATAAGTCACAAAGAACATCTCGCCTCACCTGCATGTTACTCTCACCTGCATGTTGCGCTCTTTGCTCGCGTGTACACTCCTCACAAGCTTGTCCCCGTTATAAGTCACAAAGAACATCTCGCCCACGAGGCCCGGGTCCACGAACGTGAGCGAGTGGCAACGGCCGTGATCGAGCGTGAGGATGCTGAAGTGATCTCGGCCGTTGGTGCGGTTGAAGAAGGGGTAGTTCCGGCGCACTGTGGTGAGGATTTCCGTCCACACCTGCAGAGCCAAAGGGAATTGGGTTGAGGGGTATGGGGATTGGGTTGAGGGGTACGGGGTTCTTCTTCTGAGGAGCCTCAAAGGGGTAGTTCCGACGCACTGTGGTGAGGATTTCCGTCCACACCTGCAGTCACCAGGGGTTTAGAGGGTTCAAGGGTTGAGGTATGGGTTTAGAGGAATCAAGAGTTCAAAGATTGAAGTCTAAGAGTTGAACAGTTCTTGGCTCTTCGAATCTTTAAATGCAAATCAGAAATCGCACAGCGTGGGTTACATTCACCGCGCATCCCCTCTGAACTCCCTTTTCCTCCCTCCTCCCTTTTCGGGTTTCCCCCCTTCCTCCTCTCACCCCTCTCCTTCCTTTTCCTCTCTCCGCCCAGTCCCCCTTCCGCTCCTCCTTCCCCCCTTATTCCCTCGTCCCTCCACCCATCCCTACGCTCCCCCTCACGTGCTCACCTTGGAGCTCTCTTCCAGAACGTCACGCTTCCCTCGCTCCCCTCGCTCCCCTCGCTCCCCTCGCTCCCCTCCGTCCCCTCGCTCCCCTCCCTCCCCTCGCTCCCCTCCCTCCCCTCCGTCCCCTCCCTCCCCTCCGTCCCCTCACTCCCCTCCCTCCCCTCCGTCCCCTCCGTCCCCTCGCTCCCCTCCCTCCCCTCCGTCCCCTCGCTCCCTTCGCTCCCCTCGCTCCCCTCGCTCCCCTCCCTCCCCTCGCTCCCCTCCCTCCCCTCGCTCCCCTCGCTCCCCTCGCTCCCCTCGCTCCCCTCCGTCCCCTCGCTCCCCTCCCTCCCCTCGCTCCCCTCCCTCCCCTCCGTCCCCTCCCTCCCCTCCGTCCCCTCACTCCCCTCCCTCCCCTCCGTCCCCTCCGTCCCCTCGCTCCCCTCCCTCCCCTCCGTCCCCTCGCTCCCTTCGCTCCCCTCGCTCCCCTCGCTCCCCTCCCTCCCCTCGCTCCCCTCCCTCCCCTCGCTCCCCTCGCTCCCCTCGCTCCCCTCGCTCCCCTCCCTCCCCTCGCTCCCCATTTCCCCCCTCCTCTCCCTCCCCACGCTCCCCCTCACTTGCTCACCTTGGAGCTCTCTTCCACAACGCCACGCTCCCCTTGTTCCCCTCGTCCTTCCCCTCGTCCTTCCCCTCGTCGTTCCCCTCGTCGTTCCCCTCGTCGTTCCCCTCATCGTTCCCCTCGTCGTTCCCCTCGCAAATTGTTCTCACCGCCCTCTCTCCCCACGCTCCCCTCGCCCCCCCCGCTCCCCACGCTCCCCCTGCTCCCCTCGCTCCCCCCCTCCCACACACAACACGTGCGCACCTTGGATGCCTCTTTCACAGCGAGATTCAGACATGTCTCAGTGAGCTGCGTGCCGTGCAGTAGGCTTAAAAAAATATCGACTCACCTTGGATGCCTCTTTCACAGCGCCACACATGTTGTTCTCCCAGTCCTTGGAATGGTACAGCGTCAATGAGTCGTGCTCATAGCACACACACGACCAGTTCTCCACGTCAATGAGTCGTGCTCATAGCACGCACACGACCACTTCTCCACGTCAATGAGTCGTGCTCATAGCACGCACACGACCAGTTCTCCACGTCAATGAGTCGTGCTCATAGCACGCACACGACCAGTTCTCCACGTCAATGAGTCGTGCTCATAGCACGCACACGACCAGTTCTCCACGTCAATGAGTCGTGCTCATAGCACGCACACGACCAGTTCTCCATGTCAATGTGTCGTGCTCATAGCACACACACGACCAGTTCTCCACGTCAATGAGTCGTGCTCATAGCACACACACGACCAGGACTTCTTTCTCTCTTCCCTATTATTCTCCTTTTTACTCCCCTCCCAAGGTGCTCCTTCCCCCCCTTTCCCTCCACTTTCCCCCCTTCCCCCCTCCCTTTTCCCCCTCCCCTTCCCCCCTACCCTTCCCCCACTCCCCCTGACGCGCTCGCATTGGATGCTTCTACCAGTCCTTGAAATGGTACAGCATCCGAGTCGTGCTCATCACACACTGGAGATCACGCCTTCATCCTCCCCACTATTCTCCCCTTTCTCCCCTCCTGCACTGTTCCTGTCCCTCTCTTTCCCTCCCATTTCCCCCCTTCACCCCCTGCTCCCCATTCCCCCTCGCTTTCCCCCCTTACCCCCCGCTCCCCTCGCCCTGCTCGCTCCCCCTCACGCGCTCACCTTGGATGCCTCTTCCATGGCGCCGCACATGTTGTTCTCCCAGTCCTCTCCCAGTCCTCTCCCAGTCCTCTCCCAGTCCTCTCCCAGTCCTTGAAATGGTACAGCGTGAGTCATAGCCCACAGCCATAATACCTGCCAGCCTTCACTCCTCCCTCCCCCCCCTCTTCCTCCCCGCCCCCTCGCTCGCTCACCTTGGATGCCTCTTCCACGGCGCCACGCATGTTGTTCTCCCAGCTTTTGAAATGGAACAGCGTGAGTCACAGCCCACACAGTCATAATACCTGCCTTCCTTCACTCTATCCTCCCTTCCCCCCGTCGCTCCCCCTCGCTCGCTCACCTTGGATGCCTCTTCCACGGCGCCGCGCATGTTGTCCTCCCAGTCCTTGAAATGGTACAGCGTGACTTGCGCTCATCACACACAGGAGGTGCCTGCCTTCACTCTCCCCACTATTCTCCCCCTTTTCTCCCCTCCTGCATTGTTCCTGCCCCTCACTTTCCCTCCCATGTCCCCCCTCCAACCCCCGCTCCCCATTCCCAATCGCTCCCGAACATTCCCCCTCGCTCCCCTCCATTCCCCCTCGCTTTCCCCCCTTACCCCCGCTCCCCCCGCTCCCCCCGCTCTCCCCGCTCTCCCCGCCCTCCCCGCTCCCCCCGCTCCCTTCGCCCTCCTCGCCCCCCCTCGTTCGCTCACCTTGGACGCCTCTTCCACGGCGCCGCGCATGTTGTTCTCCCAGTCCTTGAAATGGTACAGCGTGAGTCGCGCCGAGAAGAACGGCACGAAGAAGAGCGACGCCTCGTACGGATCCACGGTGCGCACCGCGTTACTCGCTATAAGCAGCTCCGTCATGTGCTTCTCCACGTCATACTGCTGCGAGTACCACGCGGGCTCCAGCTGGAGAATCTTGTCCGTGTAAGCCGGGCCCAGATCGTACACGTAGATGAACGGCCGTCGATCGTCGTCAGTGGTGGAATTACGCAGCGCGCGACCCGACGCAACGTTGCTACTGATGACTATGTCTCCTGAGCCATCGAGCCCAACCCTGCCGCCGTCGCTGCTGCTGCTCGCGTCGCCGCCGCTGCCGCCGCTGCCGCTACTGCTGCTGATTCCTCTCCTGCGGGTCTGCTCTTTGCTGCCGTGTAGGCAGCGGCAGCACTTGGATTGCCAGAGGGAGAAGGAGACTAAGGAGACTAGGGAAACGAGTGCGATCAGAAACACTCCCGAGAGCCGCGGAACGCGCTTGGCGTTGTAGAGCGAGGAGATCGCGCGATGAATGTTACGCGGTAGCACTGCGCGTAACCTTTGCGCAGACTCGATTGCTGGTAGCAATGCGCGTGGTAGCCGTTGCGTCGACTCGAAAGAAGGCGGCATGGTGCCGAGTCGCTGGCCGATAGGGCTTCAGATAGTAACGAGTTCACTTTTCTTCATGAGCCATCGCGTTTGATGTGTGTCAGAAAGAAAAGCTTAATGTGGCAACGGGGTCGTACCAAATAGTCGAGAATCCGCAGGCGGAGTGGGAAGGGACACGAGAAGGGTGAGAACGAGAGAACGTCTAGAAGGGAACGAGTTCCGAGGACCGCAGGTGCCGCTCTGATTCGCCACCTTTGACTGAATGGTTCAGCAACATAATAGTCAACTAGACTTCCGCAATTAGTCAACTCAATCTTCCGCACTTGTGAAGGACTGGTCCCTAAAGTTTCCACTTTCTGTTCAGCATAATCGGTTGGCAATGATACTGTAATGTACAAACCAGAGCGGAGTTTCGGATTTCACCACTTTGAACCGCTACTCACCAGCCTGACATTCTATGTATGAACAGTAAACGAGCCATCGAGACCTGCCCGTATGCACACTTTGACTAGCTCAACAAGCGGTTCGCGTACATTTTCGAGCGTTTCGTTACGGTTCTTTGCGATGAGTTCTGTGATTGCAGCTTGGACATTCCTGAACGGGGTTGTCATGTCATGTTTGTCATCAGAAAAGGGACAAACGTGTATTTCTGGTTCGTCACGCAACCAGAACGTTTAGAAACGCTGCGAATCGTAAAATACCTTACTGAACCAGTACGTCACATTGCTGACATCCCTGGAGGGGGTGCCACACGGCCAAGCTCGCATTTCACTCCTCGTACCACGTTTTTGCCTGGTGCGTTTCGGTTCAAAACACTGGAAGTTCGGCGAGGGAGAATGCTGCGAAAGTCCCTGAACAGGTACAGCGTGTCGCGAAGACGAACGAAGACCTTCCGGCCTGTAACAGTTTGACCATCGAAAGCTTGTATTTCCTTGTATCTTGCTAGCCTACGTTTCACCTTACACCTGCATCGAGAAGCCTAACTATAGATGTACAGATACATTCTTTAACGAATCCACTCTCACCAACTGTATGTGACCGCGTGTGTCGCTCCGCCTCCCCCTTATCATCCTAGCTACATCGTGCGCACACGCGTAGCGCAAACAACCAACCATATGCGGAGGAGCCCTGCACAAGCACATCCGCGCACGCCTCGGCATCACCGAGATGCGCATCACCCGCCTGAACCACCCTCCGCTTCCTCCCCTTCCCCTTTTCCGACATCCAACTGCCCCCCCACCTGAACCAACCAGTCTGCCCTCAATTCCGCCGCGCCAAACTCCTGGTCTTGTCCTGAAGTCCGCGCATTCCTCAATAAGCGCGCCATTTCGCGGCATTCCCAGGGTGGGGTACTTTCCCGCCCATCCAGTCCGCCCTTCACGAGCCCCCTGCTCCCCCTCTCCACCTCCACCCCTCACAGACCCTTCATCTCTGCCATTCGATTTACACTAATTATTTCGGCGTCGCCTCACCTAATTAGTTGACCATCGACTTCGGCTTAGTGACCTAAGCGGCCACTCCGTACATACTTCAGTACGGTACATACGACAGTAGCCGTAGGTAGTCACGGAGTCATTGCGAACCCGCGTTGGGTCGCATTCTTAGGGTTGCGACCTAGCTCGCTTTTTGTCGCGCCATTTTGCCAGCTCTTGCCGCCATTTCCGTTAGTTTGTCGTCACGACTTCCTGTCAGGCCGTGACAGATTTTAGGGTTTCCCTCGACTGATTCAATACACTGACGTACGCTTTCATTGTCTGTTGTGCGCTGTCGCCGGCTATAGTAACGCCCGTCGGCTATAGTACGTTTCCGACTCGATATAGTCACTCTCCTACGCTCGTTAGCCCAAACGTAGTAGATGTGAAGCAACGGGGACTTCGCTAGTACAACCCATCTCTCCTCCCTCTCCCGCCCCCTTCGCTCCGTCCCCCTTATAATCACATAGCAATGCTGCAATCCGTTAAGAAAACGTTTGCAGGGGGTCGGAAGAAAGCAGGAAGTAAAGCCGAGCACCACGATAGCGCCGCCGGTGCCGCCCCGCACCACGGGCACGCGCCGCCACCCGCCGGTCCCGCCGGAGGACCAGCGCCCCGGGGCGCTTCAGGAGGAAAGGCTCCCGGGGCCAATGCCGCGAAAGGCGCCGCGCCTGCCGCTGGCGCGGCGCTCCGAACGAGCAGCTTCAACAAGGACAAGTCCGACGCTGTAGCGAGTTCTGTTGTAGCGAATCCGAACGTGTCGCCGTACGCCGAGCCGCTCCCGCTTTTCCGGGACGTGGCGGCTCCGGAAAAGCAGGCGCTGTTCATCCGTAAGCTCGCGCTCTGCTGCCACACGTTCGACTTCGCGGACCCGCTTAAGAACATGAAGGAGAAGGAGATTAAGCGGCAGACGCTCTTAGAACTAGTCGAGTACGTCAACTCAGGCACGGGGAAGTTCAGCGAGGCGGTGTTCGAGGATATCGTGCGGATGCTCCGCGCGAATCTGTTCCGCGCGCTCCCCCCGTCCGCGCACGAGAACACGGGGTCCGAGGGGTTCGATCCGGAGGAGGAGGAGCCGAATATGGAGCTCGCGTGGCCGCATTTGCAGATCGTGTACGAGTTTCTGCTGCGCTTCGTAGTTAGTAACGAGACTGACGCTAAGGTGGCGAAACGGTACCTGGACCAGCCGTTCGTGCTGAAGCTGCTAGATTTGTTCAACTCCGAGGATCCGCGCGAGCGCGACTATTTAAAGACCATTCTGCACCGGATATACGGCAAATTCATGGTCCACCGGCCGTTTATTCGCAAGTCGATTAACTACATCTTCTACCGCGTTATCTACGAGACGGAGCGGCACAACGGGATCGCGGAGCTGTTAGAGATCTTGGGCAGCATAATCAACGGATTCGCGCTGCCTCTTAAAGAGGAGCACAAACTGTTCCTGGTCCGCGCGTTGATCCCGCTGCACAAGCCTAAGTGCGTGTCGATATACCACCAGCAGCTGTCATACTGCATCACGCAGTTCGTGGAGAAGGACCCGTCGCTCGCGGACGTGGTGCTGCGCGGGCTGCTTAAGTACTGGCCCTTAACTAACAGCCAGAAGGAGGTGCTGTTTCTCGGGGAGCTGGAGGAAATTCTGGAGCTCACGCAGGGCGCGGAGTTCCAGCAGGTCGTCGCGCCGCTGTTTCTCCGCATCGCGCGCTGCCTCAACAGCTCGCACTTCCAGGTGAGAAAAGAGAATTTGAAAACGAAACGAGGTGTGTGTGGTGTGAGGAAGATGAAAACGGGGGTAGACGGGGCCGTGCAGCTCGCACAAGGTGTGTGCGCGCGTTTCTCCCGATCGCACGCTGCCTGCCTCAACAGATCGCACTTCCAGGTGAGCACAGAGAATCGCAAACGAAACGAAGTGCATTTGTGGGCAAACTTGTGGGAAAAGAAGAGGAGAAAATAAGAGAAATGTTCAGCTCGCACCGTTCCTCCGGATCGCGCGCTGCCTGCCTCAACAGCTCGCACTTCGAGGCGCCTCAAAAGCCTCAACAGCTCGCACTTTGAGGCGCCTCAAAAGCCTCAACAGCTCGCACTTTGAGGCGCCTCAAAAGCCTCAGCAGCTCGCACTTCGAGGCGCCTCAAAAGCCTCAACAGCTCGCACTTCAAGGTGAGCCGAGAAGGGAAAGGAGGTGTGTGTGGGAGAGAGATAGGGGGAGGCCGGGGACGGGTGGGGAAACGGGGGAATCGGGAACAAGGGGAAGAGACGGACGTTTACTGCTCGCACTGGTCCTCCCCATCGCGCGCTGCCTCAAAATCTCGCACTTCCAGGTGAAAAAAGCAAGAGGATGGGGGAAAACGACAAAGTGTGGGGAAGAGGGATGGGCCAAAGCACGTGAAATGAGGGTGTTTTTGAGACGTCTCAAAAATCGCGCGCTGCCTCAAAAGCTCGCCCTTCCAGGTGAGTAAAGCAAGAGGATGGGGGAAAACGACGAAGTGTGGGGAAGAGGGATGGGCCAAAGCAGCTCACGCGTTTAGATGAGCCAGGAAGGGGGTAAGAAGGGGAGAGGAGGGTAAGCAAGGTGTTGGGCGGCGGAGATAGCTCGCACCTCCAGGAGAGCTGCCGAGGTGTGCGTGGGGAGGAGGGAGGAGGGAGGAGCCGCGGAGAGAGGGAGGGGATTGTGAGGGAGAGTTCCGTGCGTCAACAGCTCTCACTTTCAGGTGAGCCGACGAAATGTTAAGGGGGGAGGGAGGGGAAGGGTCGGACGGGTTCCAGCTCGCAATTTCAAGGGGGATAAGGGAGCGCGGGGGAGGGGAAGGGAGGGAGAGGGGGGGTTGAGGTTTGCCTTAAATTTTGAGGCGCCTCAAAAGCGGCGAGGGAAGGGCGGGCGGGGGAGAAGGTGAAAGGTGGCCCAATAGCTGGCTCTTCAAGGCGGGCTCTGGCAGCTCGGGAGAGGGGAGGTGGGGGGAAGAGGGGGGGTGAAGAGGGTGGGGGGGGGGGGGGGGGGGGGGGGGGGGGGGGGAGATGCGGGAGGAGGGGTAGAAGGGGGGGGGTGCGGTTGAGGGTTGCCTCGATAGCTTGGACCTCCAGGTGAGAAAAGAAAGAGAAGAGGGAACGGGGTATGGCGCGCGGCTTTTGAGGCGCCTCAGAAGGTGGTTGAGGGTTGCCTCAATAGCTTGGACCTCCAGGTGAGAAAGGAGAAGAGGGAACGGGGTATGGCGCGTGGGGAAAGCGGGTGAAAAGAGCAGGGGCAATGGGAAGCGGATGGTGACCCTGATTGTGAATGAAATAGAGCTTTGGTTTCACTCAGTTAGGTCGGCCTCAGGCGGTGGCCCCCCTGAGGCTGAGGGTTGTCACAAAAACTTTGTTACGAAATATGTATGTATATATTTGTACATATATGTTTGTACATCTATATATCCTTCTTTTCGGCCCTCAATCCATCAGCTCACGCCGTGTTATGCCACGCAGAGGGCATGTCATGGCACACATAGGGCATGTCATGGCACACACACATAGGGCATGGTATGCCGCACATAAGGGGGCATGTGACATGTCATTCTGGAACAATGTTGAACAACGAGTACAGTGTGGGCCTTGTGGTTTTTGACTTTTGAGGCGCCTCAAAAGTCATGTGACATGTCACGCTGTCACAGTGGAACAACGAGTAGAGTGTGGGTGGGCCTCGTCGCTTTTGAGAATTCTCAAAAGGCCTCGTGGCACAGCAGAACCGACCAACCCGCTCACCACCTCCTCTCCCTCTCCGCGCATGCCATACGTTCCCCTCATGGACGCGCCCCCACCCCACCTTCTCCCCCCCTCTGCCTCACCAGGTGGCTGAGCGCACCCTATTCCTGTGGAGCAACGACTACATTGTCAGCCTCGTGGCTCAGAACACAACCCTTTTTTTCCCATCTCCCCACTCCACCCCAACCCTGCACACGCCCCTTGGGGCACCCTCCCTATCTACCAGGTGGCGGAGCGCACCCTATTCCTGTGGAACAACGACTACATCGTCAGCCTCGTGGCTCAGAACCGCGCTTCCGTGCTGCCGCTGATCTTTGGTGCTCTGGAGAGGAATGCGAGGAGCCACTGGAACCAGGTGCGAGGGGGAGATGTGAGAGAGAGTATGAAAGGGGAGCTAGGGGAGTGTGAGGTGAGGAGAGGGGAGAAGGGAGAATCGAGCTGCTGGGCTGCTGCTGATGTTCGGGGCTCTTGAGAGGAATGCAAGGATGAAGCAGGTGCGACGGGGGATGGGGGAAGGAGAGGGTATGACAGGGTGGCAAGGGGAGAAGAAAAGAGAGGTTCCGTGCTGCCGCTGATCCTCAGGGCTCTTGAGAGGAATGCAAGGAGCCACTGGAAGCAGGTGGAGGGGGGGGGGGGGAACAGGAAGGGTACGAGTGGGAGGTGAGAAGAGGGTGGGGGGGTGTGAAAGGGAAATCAAGAAAGGAGGAGGGGTTTGTGTGGAGAGTGGAGAAGGGGATGTGAGTGAAGAAGGGGATGTGAGTGGAGAAGCTAGAGCGAAGGGTTTGGGGAAGAGGGTGGAGGGGGTTTGTAAGGCTACTATTGCTTGGTGCGGATCGAACCGTTTCAACCCATTGCTATGGGCTCCCCCCCTGCATGGCCCATTGCTCGCCAGTCAGTGAACGGTCTGACGATCAACGTTAGGACCAGCCAGGGAAGGGAGCACTGTGCGGACTGACTGCCAGAGGCAGTTCCCGCCGTTCCCAGTGCTCTTTTTCCCCTCCCTGCCCTCCACCCAGGCGGTGAACGGGCTGACGATCAACGTGAGGAAGATGTTTCTGGAAATGGATCAAACTCTCTACGAGGACTGCCAGAGGCAGTTTCTGGAGGAGGAGGCGCGGGAGAGGGACGTGCAGGCGGGCAGGGAGCACTCATTACTCTCCCCTTCTCTCCCATCCCTCCCATCGCTCATCAGGCTGTTAACGGGCTGACCATCAATGTACGCAAGATGTTTCTAGAAATGGACCAGGCGCTCTACGAGGACTGCCAGAGGCAGTTTCTGGAGGAGGAGGCGCGGGAGAGGGACGTGCAGGCAGGCAGGGAGCACGCATGGAGACGACTGGAGGAGGAGGCTGCTGCGCGCTCGCCCATGTATGTGGACGCTGGCGGTGGTGGTGTGGTGCAGAGCCGAGATATGAGAATGGGCATGTCTGTGGAAGCATCGTGAGTGGGAGGAAGCAGGGAGCAGGGTGGGGAGGAGGGTGGGGAGGGCTGGGAGGGAGGGAGGAGGCGTGGGAGAGGGAGGTTGCAGGCGGGCAGGCAGGCAGAGAGGGACGTGCAGGCGGGCAGGGAGCACGCGTGGAGACGACTCGAGGAGGAGGCTGCTGCGCGCTCGCCCATGTATGGGGATGGCGGCGGTGGTGGGGTGGGGGGCAGGTGGCGTTGCAGGGTCGAGATATGAGAATGGGCATGTCGGTGGAAGCATCGTAAGGGGTGGGAGCAAGGAACGGAGGGAGGGCTGATAGGGAGGTGAGGAGGGCTGGGAGGGAGGAGGCGCGGGAAAGGGAAAGCAGTTGGGAAGGGAGGTGCGGGGCAGGGAACACGCGTGGAGAAGGAGGTAGTTCTAGAATCTAGAGCTAAAGCCAGGGCTGCTTGGGACAGCCGAAACCCTGGCCAGGGCTGCTTGGGATGCCGCTGGTGAAAGTGGGAAGGCTGGTGGAAGTGGGTTACCGGGTTACCCAGGCTTGTCGATTGCCATACCTGTGGTGGCGTTAGCAGCCGTGCAGGCTTGGGATTTCTCCTCGAGATTCTTTGAATCCAAACTGCTTCTAGTGTAGCAGCCAGCGGTGTGGGTACCTGGTAACCTGGCTGGTAACCTGTTGTGTAGCTGTTGTGGTTTTAGTTTAGTCCCTGTGAAAAGCTCGTGCTTGGCTGCTACATGTGGTTTATGCGACCAAGGTTGATAGCAGCATTAGCTGGAGCGGCAACAGAGGCATCACCATCATCAGCAGCAGCAGCAGCAGCAACATCAATTGCAACAGCAGCTGGTGTGGGGAGGCAACAGCATCAACAGCAGCTTTTGCAGCAGGTACGAGGCGCCAGCAGCAGCAACAGCAGTGGCAAAAGGAGGAGTATTAGAAGGGCAGGTAACTCTCGAGTTACTCAGAGGAAGGAGGACCTATAAACCTTCTTTTCTTCCTTTGGTTCACAGGTTGTGAGTAGTAACAGGTGGCAGGTACCCAGTCACAGGATATGGCAGATTCTCTCAAGCGTATGCGACTTCTGAGTCGCCTCAGGAATATGGCAGGCTCAGAAGTTTCGTGGAACATGCTTTATCTTAGATCTTGCTATTTTCCAGGCTCTGCTGGCGTTCCGTGGCTTTTGTGTTGGGTGAATGCTTGTGGCTTGTGCTTAGAATTGTGTGAATGCTTTGGGGTTGAGGGCTGACTGAAGCACACTGAAAGTGCTCTTTAGGTTGACGACGATACATGGGGAAGGGGGGCGTGCAATATGTGAGGTGGATCATATAGACATATCTACCTGCTGATGGGCATCGTTGTAGTACAGTTGATCTCCTCAAACGGAATCCCTCTCAGTTATTACCAGTTTTTTTTAGGCTGGGTTATGTTGGCCATAGCCTTTGGCTTCATTTGGTAATGTTTCAGGGACGTAACAGTCTATGTAACGGAATGATTTCGCCAACCTTGAGAATTGAGATCTGTGGGGAGCTGGTTGCTGGCCTAAGGAAAACTGTTAGTGACGCATTCCACGAATGCGACAAATATATATCCGCGCGGGCGACCATTTTCTTTGTACGGCCATAATGATTCCATAAGATCTGGTCTAGTTGTCGCTTCCTCTCCGTCTCTCGTACGTACGTACCGCTAGTCGCTCCCTTCCGCTCTCTCCATTCTAAAGAAGAATCTTCCCTCCGTCACAGATTCGCTTTCGCGAAACCCGTGAGGACATACAGATTCCGGCTTTCGCGAAAGCTTTCGCCATTCCAGACCCGCCAGTCGTCTCCCACACGCGGACGTAAGCTTGAAGACTTCAGGAGCGAAGCCGGGTTCTGAGCCGAGACGTAAAACGGCAGCGGTTTCACAGGGTTTTCAGCGGTCGTATTCGGTTTCAAACCGTCTCCAACGATGAGCTCCGGAGCGCGGCCACGATGCTTCCTGGACATTGCGTTCGATGGGCAGTCTGTCGGCAGAATCGTGGTGGAGGTCCGGCCGGACGTGGCGCCGAAGACGGTGGAGAACTTTGTCGGCTTGTGCAATGGGACGAGCTCGGGGCTGGGCTATAAGGGCCTGACGCTGCACCGCATCATCCCCGGATTCATGGCGCAGGTACGCGTCGAACCGCAGGTATGTGTCGAACCGCAGGTAGGTGTCGAACCGCAGGCAGGTGTCGACTCCGGGTGCGCGCCGAAACGCAGGTACGCGTCGAACCGCAGGCACGCGTCGAATCGCGGGTAGGTGACTGCGCAGGTAAGTGGTGAACGCAGACTGCGTCACACATCCGCCTGTGTATCAGATCTCACCGTCTTATCGGACATTCCCTAGAGCTCTTCACGAATGCTCTGATATTTGATGCGCGTTTGTGGCCTCACCCTAGTTATCACTACTCTCCCTCTCATCCTCCCTCGCCCCTCTAGGTCGACAATAAGCCGGCGTCCCTGTCTTCTCCCACTTCTCCGTCTGTTATGTCTCGTAAAAAAATAAAATAAAATAAAATCCGTTTTTTTTTTTTTTTTTTTTGCCACGTTTTTCGCATGGCAGGGTGGCAACTGCGGCAGTTCCATCTTCGGGCAGCCGTTCCCCGACGAGAGCTTCGAGCTGAAGCACAGCGGCAGAGGCGTTCTCTCCATGGCGAATCGTGGCCCCAACACGAATAGTGAGTGGAACGATGGTGGATGTGTGTCAAAGTACAAGTCTTTCCCCCACAATCCCCGGCCGTTTTCCACTTCCCTGACGAGTTAAACTAAAGCACAGCGGCAGAGGCGTTCTCTCCATGGCGAATCGCGGCCCGAACACGAATAGTGAGTGTGAAGATATTTGATAACCGATTGTCGCAGGGACCAATCTTAGGGACCAATTTTAGGGACCAATTTTAGGGACCAATTTTAGGCGCCTCATAAAAGGGGACCCCGCCATGCAGCAATGGCAAGCAGAGCCCTTGGGTGTTCACCTTTCCCCCACCCCTCCTCCTTCTCCCCACCCCATTGCGTCGGATGCGTCCCTCTTTCCATGCATTAGTGCTCTGTCGATCCTCTTTCCCCCCTCCTCCCTTCCGCAGCACCTTGTTAGACTGCCAGTTCGTCATCTGCTTCACAACTCTCCGTCCGCGTTACTGCTTCGTCAAACCTCCTTTCCCCGTCCTTCCCTCCTTCCACCGCAATCTCTCGGATTTCCAGTTCGTCATCTGCTTAAAAATTCCATGCGTTACTGCTCTGTCCACCCTCTCTTCTCCACCTACCTCCCTTCCTCCCTCCCTTCCTCCCCTCCCCCTCCCCCCCCCCCCCCCCCCCCCTGCCAGTTCTTCATCTGCTTCACTGCTTCACCTCACCTGGATGGCAAACACTTATTGCCTTTGGAATGTTGATTGCAGTTGGGGGGTGGCTGTGCGTTGGTGCTATCACCTCATTATCCACCCTCTTTTCTCCCCTTCCCCCTCCTTCTCCCTTCCTTCCCCCCCACCCTCTCAGACTGCCAGTTCTTCATCTGCTTCACTGCTACGCCTCACCTAGATGGCAAGCATGTCGTCTTTGGAAAGGTGGTTGCAACTGAGGGGGGTGGCTTTGCTGTGCGTTGTTGCTACCACCTCACTTTTGAACCTCTTTTCTCCCCTTTCCCCCACCCTTCCCCCCTTCCTCCCTTCCCCCCCACCCTCTCAGACTGCCAGTTCTTCATCTGCTTCACTTCTACGCCTCACCTAGATGGCAAGCATGTCGTCTTTGGGAAGGTGGTTTCAGGTGAGTGATGGGGAGGGCGGAGGAGGAAAGGGGGGGGAAGAGGGGGGGGAAAGAGGAAGGGGGGGAAGAGGAAGGGGGGGAAGAGGGGGGGGAGAGGGGGGAGGGAAGCAGAGGAGGGGGGGTGACTGAGGCGGTAGGTTAGTGGGGAATCCAAGTGAGTGAGGGGGAAAGTTGTGTGAGGAAGGTGGTTGTTGAAGATCAGTAAGCTGGCCGTGACATTTTCTAAAGAACGGGAGGAAGTAAGCTGCAGAAGTTTGCTCTTTCATATTTTTTTTGTTTAAGATGTAAAACGTTCATTTATATGGATCCCGTTCCCAACAGGAATGGATGTTGTTGACAAGCTGGAGTCAGTTGGTAGCGACAGTGGCAAGACGTCGGTGGAGGTTACTATTCAGGACTGTGGCCAGCTCGTATAAAGTGTACATGGTATCACGTTTTCCAGTAGAATTTCACAGCTAGCGCTTGTTATAATGCAGACCTTGTAACACAATATGGGTTCTTCAATGGGGAGGTCTGCTACCAGGGCTCTGGTTATCAGACCAAATCGGTCTGATGGTCTGAAAATCAGACCTACTACTTTTTCATTTCATCTGATTATCAAGACCATCAAATTTATTTCATCTGATCCATAAGACGAAGGATTATATTCGTCTGAAAAAAAAGTGTTTTAGTTCGTCTGACATTTCAGACATCGCGTATGTGTTCACCTGATACTGACAAAGTACCCCCCCCCCGCTACTCCTTCCCCCGTGCCCATGCCCCCTCAAGCCCCTCACGCCAATCCAAGCTCCCCCCCCCCCCCCCCCCCCACGAAGTCCCTCGCTCGCTCCTATACCAGGCCAGCCCGTCCATCAAGCCCCTCGCTCCTACAACAACCATTACAGCCCCCCCCACGACCCCCCCCCCCCCCCCCCTTCCCCCCCCACCCCACGCGCCCAGTCCCTCGTACAACAACCCCTTTCCCCGCAATTCCCTCCACCCCCTTGGTCTCGCACGTCTCACAAAAGACACGGACCACCGTCTCTGTACATGCCCCTCTCAGCCCAACCCCTGCACCCCCCTTGCCGTCCAACTGCCACACATGTCTGCTAGCATGCTGCCAGCGGCGTATTTATACTTCGTAGAATCAGATTCAACTTATGCTCTACTGTGTATTTGGCTAAATCAGACTGAAAATAAATTCGTCTGAAAATTCAGACATGGCCTCAACATTCGTCTGACAAATCAGACAAAAAACAAATGCCCATCTGAACGTCAGACGAAACCTTTTCAAAAAAAAAAAAGACAGACGGGCCTAAATCCTAGCAAGAGCCCTGTCTGCTACACTGAAATTATCCCTGCATTGTGGAAAGTTGTAGGTGGATATGCGTGTATGATTGTAGAGGGAATGCTCAACTCTACAATGAATGTCACGCCATTAACGCGGCAGCAATTCGAATGCTCAACTCTACAGTGAATCGACCCCTTCTCAGTTTCCCCCTCCACCACAACACAACAGCCCCCTTCCGTGAAGTACAGAAACTGGGTGCACCAGTGTTTTTGGGGTGTACGAATTGAACGAGCCGTTTCGAACGCCCACCACACCACCACACCTCATCACACTGTATCTCACTGGCTCCCCCTGTAACGTTCTCAAATTTTCTAATTGTCTAAAATGCATCTCAGCAAACATTGTACAGTACCTCTTCAGCTGACAACCGTGAGTAACGAACCCGCTAGGCTCCCGGGACGAAAGGCCAGGGAAAAATGTTGCCTGGAAAGCCAGAAAATGCTCTGATCCTTATAGCTAGAGACAACAATACAGCAGCAATAGAAGCTACCTGTGCTGTTTATTTAGGGCTGGGAGGGTAATGTTATCCTGGCTGGAGCATCGACTCCGACTCGAACAGTTGGTCTTCTAGGGGTCCCATTTTCGGCCATCCTTTAGTCGGAGTCGAGGTAACATAGGCCGCGCTATTTGCGGCAAAACAGCCTGTACCCGTAGGTAACAGCAGCACAGTTCCTTTGAAGGGACTGGCCACAGCATAATCACCTGTAGCAGCAACAGCGTTATCAGCTGTACCAGCAGCAACAGCACTATCAGCTGTATCAGCAGCAACGTTATCATCAGCTGTACCAGCAGCAACGTTATCTCAGCTGTATTAGCAGCAACAATATCAGCAGCTCCGGTAGATCACGATGGGGACCGAGGCGGCTTTAAAGACGTTCACAGCAGAAGAGCTCGACGAGGCCACGAATAACTACGCGCGGGAAAACTCGCTCGGTCGCGGCGGCTTCGGCACGGGGTACCGCGGAAAGCTCACGGACGGTTCCCCCGTGCTTGTAATGAAGCTGAACCCGGATAACACCCGCCAAGCCGCGGAGAAATTCACCCGCGAAGTGACCATCCTCACGCGCGCGGACCACCCGCATCTGGTCAAGCTTCTCGGATACAATCCCGAGGCACGCTGTATCGTGTACGAGTCGCTCCCGGCCGGGAGTCTTGAGGACCGTCTGCTGACGGAGGGGGGACGTAAAACGATGAAGCAGAAGGACCGGCTGCGAATCGCGGCGGAGGCGTCAGAAGCTCTCCTCTTCCTCCACCGTCTCGAGCCGCCGATCCTCCATCAGGACGTGAAACCCGGAAACGTCATGCTGAACGACGATCTCTCCTGTAAGGTCGGCGGAGTCGGTCTGGCGAAGTTTCTCCCCGCGAATGACTCGTCGATCTGGGGAACTGTGGGGTATATCGACCCGCTGCTTCTCCGCACCGGGAAATACGGCCCGCAGTCCGATCTGTACGGATTAGGGTTGGTGATCCTGCAGTTGTTGACCGGCGAGAAGGTGAATAAGGTGCTTGAGTTTGCGAAATTCGGGCTGGAGGGTATTCTGGATCATCTGGATAAGACGGTTCAGTGGAACCCGGAGATTGCGAAGGAGGTTGCTGACGTGGCACTCAAGTGTAGGGACCGGATGAGCCGGCCGGATTTAGAGACGGTGGTGCTGCCGATGCTGAAGAAATACGCGGAGCAGACTAAAGGGGAGAAAGAAACGGAGGCCCCTCCGCCTGCTGCTGCTGCTGGTGCTGCTGGTGGTGGTGCTAAGGGTGGTGGTGGTGGGGCGGGTAAGGGGCATGAGAAGAAGGGTGCGGCTGCGGCGGCCGCTGCGCCTCAGAAGAAGGGGCTGTTTGGGTATTTCTTTGGGAAGCGGTGAATGGCGGAGGGGTAGATAGTGAGGTGAAGGAAGCAGGGGAATGGAGGAAGGGAGGTAAGGGAGGAAGGGGAGGGAAGGGAGGAGGCTTTTGAGGCGCCTGAAAAGTGCGGATGCGGCGGCTGCGCCTCAGAAGAAGGGGCTGTTTGCGTAGTTCTTTGGGATGCGGTGAATGGCGGAGGGGAGAAGGGAGGAGGTGAAGGGAGGAGGGGAAGGGAGGAGGGGAAGGGAGGAGGGGAAGTGAGGAGGGGAAGGGAAAAGGGAAGGGAGGGGGTGGGAGCAGGGGAAGGGAAGGGGTGAAGGGAAGAGGGGAAGGGAGGAGGGGAAAGGGGAGGTGAAGGAGGAGGTGAAGGGAGGAAGTGAGGGGAAGCGGTGGAGCCTAGCTGCGAAAGGAATGGGAGTAGGGGCGCGTATGTGCAGTAGGGGTAAAGGAATTTGGTGGGAGGGAGCGGTGGAGAGGAGCTGTGGAGAGAAATGGTGACAGGAAGAGCTGCAATAGAGGGAGGCTGGGAGGATGGAGGGAGGGAGGGAAGTTGGGAGCTAGGGAGGGAAGGAGCGAGGAAGAGAGGAAGACAGGGAGGGAGGGAAAAGAGGGAGAGAGGGAAAGAGGGAGAATGGGAGGGAAAGCTGGTGGATGGGAGGGAAAGAGGGAGAGAAGGAAAGAGTGAGGATGGGAGGGAAAGAGGGAGGATGGGGGGTAAAAAGGGAGCGACGAAGTGAGCAAAGGAGGGAGGGAGGGAGTGGAGGGGGGAGGCAGGGGGCGACGTTCGTGTGGAAGGTTACGAGGTGCCACGTGAGCCGATTAAGTCGGAAACAGGCTCGGATGGGAGCAGGCTTGGATGGGAGCAGGCTTGGATGGGAGCAGGCTTGGATGGGAGCAGGCTTGGGTGGGATCTGGCTTGGATGGGAGCAGGCTTGGATGGGAGCAGGCTTGGATGGGAGCATATTTTGGTGCTTTTTGGTCGAAGCAGAGAGGGGACAGAGCTGTCAGGACGATCGGAACAGCAGTAAGGGAAGCCTGGAAGAAACGCTCCAACAGCTGGCCATAATAATTGGAGGACGCACGTTTTGGGCAGATGGTATGGTGGTGTGGGAAGATTTAGCCAGAGGGCTGGTCAAGTCAACAGGTGCTGCAGAGTGGCAGCAGGGCGAGCATGAATGAAGCAGCATGGGCAGTGGGCCGAGAACAGAAGGAGCAGTATGGGAAGGGACGGGGGTTTGTGGAGTGAAACAATCGCAGCCTAGGCGGAAGTGTTGGGCGGTTGCGGTACCTAGGCGGGGGTTAGTACCAACTCTGAGGACCTTTCACTCACACCACTGCCATGTGGTATTGTATCACTTGTTAGGCTAAAAAAAAAAAAAAACCTTTAGGATCTTTGCAGGGGTGAACTCTGGGTAGAGTTGGTGTAGTAGCGGAAGCGTTAATTAAAGAGTTGTGAACCACCTTGCACTAGTATGTGAGGGCAAAGTAAGTTGATGATAATAAAAGAGATACAAGCTTTTATAAGAATACAAAGGAATATGAAGAGATACAGTTAACTGTTTTACTGTTGCTGTTGGGGTTCGATACAGTGTCGACTCGGGCAACTGCTCAGTATCGAGACAGTTGGTTGTCCTTGCTGTCGCGCTGCATTTGTCAGGTCAAAGGTCGCTGACCTTTGACTTTCGCGTAACCTCCAACAGTTATTCAACCTCCGAGGGTTGACTCACCGATATTTCGATACGAGCTACTTCGCTTCTGTCTTGGTGTTTCGACACGACAGAGGCGCCTAAATCAGTTGTTTCCAACACTCCCCTTCGCTTCTGGAGTGTCGCTGACGTGGCTCTGTCCAGTCAGCAACATGCAGTATTCGAACTTCTGCTTTCCGAGCTTCTTGGTCAGGTAGTCAGCTGCCATCTCAGACGTGGGATAGTATGACAGCTCGAGCCTTCCCTTCTCGATCTCATCCTTCACGAAGAAATATCGCAGGGCGATGTGTTTCGTCCTGTTTGCGAAGCCGTTCTTGTTGGCGATGCGAATTGCTGACTGGTTGTCGCAGAACAGGGTAAAGTTGGGTAACTCGGCTAACTTCGCTTCTTCCAGCAGCTCGCGAAGATAGAGTCCTTCCTTGGTGGCTGAGCAGAGTGCAATATTTTCTGCTTCAGCTGACGAGAGGGCAATTAATTCCTGCTTGCTCAACTGCCAAGAGATAGGTCCGATAGGTTCGAGGCGGTAGATGTAGCCGGTGCGGGAGCGCCTATTGTCGGAGTCGCCAGCGTGATCAGCGTCGACGTAGCCGATTAACTTAGTCGGTGTGGTTGCGTTCTTGTAGTAAGTTAGGCCGATCGTTGGGGTGCTGACGAAGTAGTGAAGAGCGCGGTCGAGCTCCGCCAGATGTTCTGCTTCAGGCTTCTTGAGGTAGGTGGCGAGCTGGCTTGCGGAGTATGAGAGGTCGGGGCGACAGGTGACGGCTGCGAAGAGAAGACATCCCAGCTTCTTTTGGTAGTCTCGTATGCCGGCGGGCTTGAGTAGAGCGGAGCTTCCTTTCTCGTTCCCTGCCGTGTAGCGGTATGGCGTGGAGATGGCTGTCGTGAGCGTAAAGCGTTTGGCGATGGTGTCGGCATATTTCTCGGCGCTGAGGTAGATCGCGTCCTCCTCTTCCCGGATGTTGAGGCCGAGGTACTGAGTGACGGTAGATGAAACTGTGAGCGTGAGATCTCGCTGCAGCTCCCCTTCGAACCAGGTAGTGATGCCGTCATTCGAGCCGATGTAAAGGAGATCGTCCACGTAGACGATTAGTAGGATGTAGTCGTCGTTTTTTGTGAGTCGGTACATGCCTTGATCGTGCGGTAGTTGCTTGAAGCCGATGCGGATGAGGCGAGTGTGCAGGTACTGTTGCCACAGTCGCGGAGCCTGCTTGATGCCGTAGAGTGACTTGAGTAGCTGGCAGACTTGGTTGGGTTCTCTGTGGGAGCCGTGCGGTAGCTCGACGAAAATTTCTGCATCAACAGGTGCGTAGAGAAACGCGTTCGCGACGTCAATTTGTCGCAGCTTCTTCTTCTTCATGGCGGCGATTGCGAGGAGAATGCGTAGTGAGGTGTGGCGGCTAACCGGAGCGAAAGTTTCGGTGAAGTCGCGTCCGTGTTCTTGGTCGAAGCCGCGTACAACCCAGCGAGCCTTAAATTTGTCAATGGTGCCGTCAGCCTTTGTCTTCACACGGAATACCCACTTCCCGGTGAGCACTGTCTTGTTCCGTGCCACGCCGATAGGAACCACTTTCCACGTGTTGCGTTCCTCCAGTGCCTTCAGCTCCTTGTCCATGGCTTCGCGCCATTTTTCCTTATGCTCCCCCCCCAGAGCCTGTTGAACCGTCGCAGGCTCTTTAGGAATGGCGGTGCCGTGGACTGCGGTGACGAGTCCGAGAATTTGCAGTCCACTCTGTGAGTAGCGGGGAAGATTTGCGTCCTCGGGATAAGCTGCTTCATCTCCCGCTTCTGGATCAGGTATGAAGTTGGGTCCTACTCGTTCTGCTTCGTTGGTGTTGACTGTCGCAGGTGTTACGTAACCGTTGTCGGCGAAATAGTAGAAGGTTTCGGCGTTGACACTTTTGCGAGGGTTATCTTCGTCCATGGGAACGTCCACGGAGCAGAACGGAAGAGGTCCGGCTTCTTCTGATGTGTTGTCCACATTCTGCTCGTCCCAGTCAGCTTCGTCCGTTGCTGAGGCGAAGGCTCGGTCACCGCGAAAACCACCTGTGGGATCCTGGTCTTCTTGCAGGTTGGCAAGGTATGTCTGGAGCGTGAGTCGTTCGTAGAAAATTACATCACGTGCTGCTACTGTTTCCTTGGAATGGACGTCGAAGATTTTCCACGCGTTGTAGTTCTTTTCGATTCCCAGGTGTAGTCCCCACTGTGCTCGTTGAGAAAATCGGCCCGCTCGTGCTGCTGGGGGTCGGTACTGTACCATGCATCCGAATATTCGTAACATTTTTGTGCTGCCCTGTTTTCCTGTCCATAGCAGATGCGGTGATGCGTTGTTTGGAAGCGATGATGACGAGAGCAAGTTGTGCAGCATGACGGCGTGGTCCATTGCCGCAGGCCACTGGTGGTTGGGTAGCCGCATGCCACGTAACAGTTTGCGCATGCTGTTCTGCAAGGTCCTGTTCATTCTTTCTGCTACACCTTGCTGCTGATGGGCGTAGGGAAGGGAGATGAGCCGCTTGATTCCCCTTTCCGCCAGGTACTGCTTGAATCGCTGAGAGGTGTATTCTCCTCCTCCGTCTGACTGGAAGCTTTTCAGTTTCACGCCCGATTCTCTCTCTGCTATTGGTAGCCAGGCAACGAAGGCTGCGAATGCCATGTCGCGGCTAGGGAGGTTTAGGTGCCAGACGTAACGGGTGGCGGCGTCGATGAAGGTGATTGTATAGTTGTATATTACTTGTCCTGGTTCCTGATTGTACAGGATGTCGCTATACACCTTCTCGAGTGGTGCGTACGCGGGTGCGCTCGGGTTGTGATGAGACGCAAACGGTCGATGTGGTAAGTCACCTTCAGGGCAGGTGAAGCACGTTCCGCGTACTCGTTGAAGTTCTCGTCCGTCGGTCAGTAGGAGTGAGTCCTTGTCGAGTACTCCTGCTCTTATCGTATTGTTTAATACTGTATTGCTTGGGTGTCCCATCCTTGCGTGCCAGGTGCTTTCGTCGGCGCGATGTCCGGGTGATCGTCGGTACATATCGGAGTTGGAGTAGAAGTTGGCGGTGAAGTTGGCGCTACGATGAACTTCTTGTGGTGCTGGGTGTAGTTGTTGCGCGGGTGTCGGTGGTGTGTCGTCGATGAGGGGCGGTGTCGTTGAAGGACCAGCAATTGGTGTTGACGTTCCTGCTGTTGCCGTTAATGGTTCTGCTACTGCCGATGTTGTCTCTACTGCTGCCGATGTTGTCTCTGCTGCTGCCGATGTTGTCTCTGCTGCTGCCGATGTTGTCTGAATTGTTGCTAACGCCCTTGTTCTTTCTGCTTCAGGGATGGTGTGTGAGTACCAGAAGCCTTCTGGACTGAAGTCTGGATCAAGGTCTGGAGGGTGTGTCCAGTTGGTGAAGTTAACGATGGCGTCGCTGTCGGCGGTGCCAAGATCAGGAACGAAATCAAGAACGAAGACGTTGTTCTTGAGGAACGCCTTGCCGATGTAAAGTCCTCCTCTCCCATGATACAGCTTGAATTCTTGGGTGGTGCTGTCTGCTTCGAGGTGAATCCCTTTCGCCATTAGCTGACTGACGCTCAGTAAGTTGTAGCCGAGTCCCTCTACGATTAGTACTTTTGACATCTGCAGTATAACGTTTGTTTCCCTTGAATGAAGTTGAACTACGCCTTGTCGTCGTGTTCGCAGGTTCTTATTGTTGGCGACTGTAATGACAACTTCGCGTTGAAGTTGGTGTTCTCGTTGAACGAAGCGTCCCGAGGAGCACATGTGCTGTCCGCAGCAACTGTCCAAGAACCATGTGTCTTTTCCGGATGGTTCGCTTTGGGCGATGGCGGCGTATGTCGGGTTCGGCTGAAGTGACTCGCGGCGGGGTGTGGTTTCGTCGAGTTGTTCTTCCGGTGAGTAGTGTGGTGGTGACTCGGTGATGCAGGAGTCACTCAGCTTTGCCATGCAGCTGACGATGTTTCTTGCTCCTTGTGCAGGTTGTCCCGTTGAAGTCGTTGAGGCTTGAATCTGGGTCGTGGGATTTGCTTGCGTTGAGGCGATTTGGCTGCTTGAAGGTCGAAGTTGCTGCTGTGGAGTTGTTGACTGTTGACGATTTGGGCAGTGCGTACGCGGGTGTCCTGAAGTTTTGCAGATGTGGCAGAACGGAGGTACTAGCTTCGGTTGTTGCTGTCGGTTGTTGTTGTTGTTGTTGTAGCGTCGCTGAGTGTGGAACGCGAATTCCGGTGCTGATGTCTCCTTTTTGTGTCGTTCTTCTTGCAGGTCC